TTTGTCTGCCTGTACATGCATGTTCTTCCAACTTTTCTCACCAAGGATGGTCAAATCTGTGGCTGAAGAGCTTGCACCACACATGCTCCCAGTTCCACTATGATAACTCTACCATCTTAACATGGTGTTAGGGGAGATCTTCAGCAATGGAGAAAGCCCTGTGCTAGGAATCAGGACACCTGAGCCAGACTGATCTATGACCTATGAGCTGGCTTCCTCTTCTTTAAAAGGGATATTGTAACCCCTGATTTCAGGGGTTGTGCGTATGAAATGATACCATGTGTATAAAAGAGTTTTTTAAATTATAAAGTCTAGAGCAGACAGTGAAAAGGGAAGGCTGACTATGTCATTTTATCACTATACTATTGTTATTATTACTGTGTTACAATCACTATTTTTTCCCATATAGCAGCGGTATTAGACTTGGGCTTGAACCACTGCCAGGGACATTGTGATATTTGAACACCTAAGGCCTGCTCAAGCTGAATCATCTTCTGTTTAGATACTAGTTTTTACCCTATCAGAAGGTGTATACATGACTAATTAAAACCAGTGAGATAAGAGTAAATTGTCTCAGAAAGAAAGGAACAGAAAATTTAAAGGCCAAGGCCTAAACCCTTGGTTGTCACATATTTGCTAATACATACATGAGACCAGGCTGCTTGATGAAGACTTGCAATTCAGTTGTTTCTAATCCCCAGCCAAGTACAATGGGACATTTCAACTTTCTCTCAGGGTGTTTTTAGCATCCTGATCAATGGGTTGCCCCAAGTTTCCTTAATCAGATTTATAGAGAAACTGCTCCGAAAGATTTATTTAATACAATCATGAAAGCAGAGGTCTTGCTTAGAGAGCATTCCTTTTCCAGGGCTAGGACCTTGTGATGGCCATGCACTTAAGTAACCAATGGGTAACTTGTAGGACAGGAAATAGCTATACAGGCTTCAGAAAATCAACCAAATAATAAAAAGAATACAGCCTCCATAGAGTTTGTTTTCCCCTGGTATTGGGATGTATTTTGGCTAAAGCCAAACACTTCAGAAATAATCAAATGGAAAGTGGTGGTGGGAGAGTTGGGATCCAATTAACATGTCAATAGAAATAAGAAGTGGAGCTCCTTTCTTCACCCCACTCACTGCCCCTAAATGGATTAGGAGATATCTTTAGGGAATCACTGAAAGGTAGTTTGCAGAATCATGCCATGGTGGAAAGGTCACCTTGGCTCAGAATTGTTCTGTAAGGTTCCAAGAGAGCAAATCCAGCCCTATTTCCTGCTGTAGGTAGAGAGTTATAGCACTTCAGAGAAAGGGTTGAGATCCAGGAGATCCACAGAGAAGTTAATTGTCCTGGCCTATGCTGCCATGCAAGACCATTGCTCTTTAACCATGAATAAGACCTTCTAGCTGACCACAGTAGTACAGTGTGCCTAAAGACCTGAAAGAAGGTAGAGGAAAGCTTATAGGTTGTACAAGGTAAGAGATACAGGGAGAGAAAAAGCAAAAAAACAAAGAAAACAAAGTCCTTTCCATCCCACAGATGACATGATGCGCTCTTTCAATGAAAGACTTGCTCATCAACACTTGACTATGGGTCAGCTGCTTTTCCTGGTAGTAGGGATTTACTGTTTCATCAATATCCTAAGTCCCTTTCCTATTTTTGTGTGATCCTCAGTGATCTTATGAGAGTTATTTAGGCAGTAAAGAAAAATAACCAGTGCCCTCCAACACCCTGCCTATTCCTATGGCATACCAAGAACAGTGTGCGATCTATTATACTCTCCCTTCCTAACCTCTACTATCAGCTGTGGGATCCATACTTTGCTCTAGGGGTGGGTATGAGGGGCAGGCTGCTTCTCCCAAATATGGACTGCTTTGTGTAAGTTATTATTCATATCTGGGTCTCAGTTTCCTGTTCTTTAAAATAGGCAAAATACAGGAATAAACTTTTATAGACTGTTAAGTGCTGAAGTATAATAATTGACAGATTTACTTAAATAACAGCTGGGAGAGACTTTTATTTATTTATTTTATTTTTTAAAAATATATATTTTATTGATTTTTTACAGAGAGGTAGAGAGGGGATAGTGAGTTAGAAACATAGATGAAAAAGAATCATCGATCAGCTGCCTCTTGCACAAGCCTTACTGGGGGTGTGCCCGCAACCAAGGTACATGACCTTGACCGGAATCGAACCTGGGACCTTTCAGTCCGCAAGCTGATGCTCTATCCACTGAACCAAACCGGTTTCAGCTGGGAGAGACTTTTAGAGATTCGATAATTGCCCCCTACATACTTCCAAATAAAGTTAAAATCTTGAGTCTTCCCCAAACCAAGATCAGAGACTCAAATTGAATTGAGGAATGTGGGGGGGGGGGGGTAGGAGTCATGTAAGATGGATGCTCCTACTGGCTCCAGCCTTTATCTCTTCTTTTCACACCCCAGGGGCATTAAGAGAGATAGACAAGTAGAAAAAGTCTTATCTAACCTTATCTAAGAGCTTTTGAACTCTTGTGAGTCAGATCTCTTAGCTTCCCACTGGGGTCAGATCTTGCAGAGAATATACATCCAGGTTGACTGCAAGGTGGGTGGTAGAGCTGGTGGGAAAAGGCAAGGATAGGCTTGGTATGATGGGAAAAACATTACCTTATTCACATTTAGGCATAGCAACCTTATTTGTCTCCACCATCTTTCTTTTCAAAGAGGGGTGTTTTCTGGAACAGATATGCCAGGAAAACAAAATACTCCTACTCCAAAACACTGTCTTCCAGAAAATGAAGATTTCAAGATTTCAGAGATCCCCCTAGCTTTGCTATTTACCCCATTCATCACTAAGTAGGTAAGGCCAGTCATTTTTCATCTCTCACCTGTAAACTGGGGATTGTAACCCTTGCCTTGCCCACCTTATTGCCAGTGTAAAGATCCAATGAGGTGATGGTGTGAAGGTACATTGCAAACTGTAAAGTGCAGCATCCATATATATGTAGTAAATTGCAGTCTTCCCATCCCAGGATAACAATCCCCTCTCTGCAGTGAATTTTTTTTTTTTTTTTTTTTTTTTTTTACAAATTAAGTCACATTCAGCATTCTGGACTATATAGGCTGCTCCCCTCCAAAAAGGAGATGGTTGTCCCATTCAATTGAACATGTTTTCCTTCCAAATATGATCCATTGTGAGGAAGTGGGCATCTGTCCAATATCCCATTATAGACATGAAGTAGACTTAAAAAAACAAAACAAAAAACAATCAATGGTGCCTACATCTGATCCCTGAGGTTCTCTATGAAATAAGTCATGGGAAAAGAGTTCCATTATTTTATTCTTAGAAGCATGTAAAACTGGTGATGAGAGATTCAAAATTCTTTTTCTCTAAACCAAGAAAGCATTAATGGTCTTTTAAAAAAAAAGTACTCACTTAAGGATATTTTTTACATTGTTTTCTAGAGAAAGTAGAAGGGAGAGGGGGAGGGGGAGAAATATCTATGTGAGAGAGACGCATCCACTCCACTGGTTGCCTTCCACACATACCCCAAGTGGGACTGGGATTGCACCTGCAACCCAGGTATGCGCCCTTAACTGGGAATTGAACCTATGACCATACACTCTAACCACGACCACACCAGCCAGGGCACCCTACAGTCAGGCCTCATTGAGAGCCTTAATTTCTCAATGCATCTCACCTCCCCCAGATCGCAGGAACTTCACTGTAACCCCCCATACTAAATCTCTGAGCTCTGAATTTGGCCTAGGGAATCAAAGAACTCAACCTTAACCTTTAAAAGACCAGTAACCAGATGTGTGAGATCATGTGATCCAAGAAATAGCCTTGTAAGAACCAAAACTGAGACAAGCCATAATGGTTATGCTGAGAGGCAAATGAATCAGTCTGTAGTGAGTTCCTTTCTGGGCCAACAGTTTTTGTTTGTTTTTTTTTTTTGGTTTTTTTGTTTTGTTTTTTTTTTAGTCCCAATTTCAATGTCCAACAGTAAAGGAAATAATGAACAACACAAACTGATGAACAAAAACAGACCTAGAGAAAGAGAAGCAGCGATCAGATTCTCAAACCTCAGAGGGAAAATAGGGGAGGGTTGGGGTAAGGGGAAGAGAGCAACCAAAGGACTTGTGTGTATACATATGGGCCTAGCCAGTGGCCATAGACAACAGGGGGGTGAGATCATATGTGGGGAGGGGTTTGGGATAGGAATGGGGGGATGAGGACAATTATGTGATACCATAATCAATAAAATTTTAAAAAAGACCAGTAACCAGGAACAAAGGAAGCAAGAGTTAAAGATAAGAAAAAATAAAAGGAACTATTTTAAAGATAAAAAAGACACTTAGTTAAATTCCCACTAAGAAGAGTACTTATAAATGGGATGGCAGACCTTGGTAAATGGGCTAACTCCAGAGATATCACAGTAACAGAAATCTAGAAGATGAATGGGAAATCAAAATGCCAGGCCTCTCCCAAGATACATGTAGATGTTCGCAGGTGTGTGTGTGTGTGTGTGTGTGTGTGTGTGTGTGTGTGCGTGTGTGTGTGTGATAGGGAGAGGGTCAGTGAAGAGTATCTAAAAAGGGAAGAATTTGACTTTTGACCCTAAAGTGCTAGGTAGTTGCATCAATAGAGTACTGAGAGACCATTCCTTCAGGTCCACCTGATCAAAGATGCACTCAGTAAAACTCTATACCATTAATTCTCAACACCTTCCCTCTTCTCTATAATCAAGCTGAACTAGGAACATGTTGGCTAGACCCATGGCTATGGAATAAGGCTAATAAATCCCAACCTGCTTACAATAAAGGGATCTTTTAAATTTGAGTTTAGTGAGTATGAATGATTGTGTAGATTGTGGCTGGGAGTGGGGAAAGGAAAGAAAAATTAACATAATTTAAACATCTCTAATGCATCAAATGCTATAAAAGGTACTTGCACATCCATTTCTCATTCAACACTCGCAGAAGATATGATGTGACTTGTGCTTTCTAAATTTTACAGATTAAGGACCTGAAGCTCATAGAGGTAAAGAGATGTACACAAGGTTCACATAGCTATTAATGGGTGTAGGTAGATTTGAAATATAGGGCTCCCAGATGTCAGGACCTGTATATTTTTCTACTGTGTCATGGTGCTTGTTTACATGAAGGAGATCACTGAATAACTATTAGAAAGTGGGAAATGAGAATCCTTGCAACAGACCAGAATAAAGAGACAGGTGTCACATCAACCTATTCAGTTCCTTGAAGGCCCAGAAATGTGATATCTGACTTGCTCGAATGAATAGCATTATCACTGTTGCTCTACCATCCACCAGTGATCTTAGTTTGCTGTTTCTCTACTGATAGTTCCACTGAACAACAGTATTCAAGAGGATAATTCTTCTGGGGTGGTCTCAAACTTCTGGTCTTTCTTCCCCATCTTTCCAACTCACCTCAATAGAGCTAAGGACTGGGAACTTCAAGAGGCACCTTGAGTTTCAGCCTGTGTCTCCCTGCAAGGTCTTAGTTCCAGTATAGGAGTTAGAGCTGGAAAACTTTTGCAGGTCCAGCTCTGTGCATTCGATGGGAGTGTGGACCCAGTGAGAGTGTCTCTCTGAGGTGCAGGAGGCCATGGTAAAATATTCCTGGATGGGGAAGCCAAGAGTTGAGCTGCTGTCGATATCCAGGATTGGGTTCAATGGCTGGGTCTCAAAGATGCTTTCACTCAGTGGGGACTCAGGATTGGTCTCTTGGCCAGGTGACATAGGGAAGATAGATTTTTCCTTCACTGTCTTGTCAGCCTCAAACTGCAGCGAACATCCTGTAACTTGAAGCAGAAAGCCACTGGGTCACCTAAAGGCAGGGTCTCCTATCAGAAGGCACCTGGTCCTGAATACAAGATAAAAAGGGTCTGGGAGCTAGCAGTCTACTTCTTCTTCCTGGGGACGAGACTTCCTAACACCAGTCTGAGATGACATTTGAGAAACACACTTAAATTGGGGTATCATATTGATGTTACCTGGTAGTGAAGCAAGGGATATTATAATGCTAAGTGAAATAAGTCAGTCAGAAAAAGACAAATATCACAGGATCTCCCTTATTTGTGGAATCCAATGAACAAAATAAACGGACCAACAAAATAGGTCCAGAAGCATGGAGGCATGGAAGAGATAAACTAAGTAATTCATATACTTACGTTAAGGTGACCAGATGTCCCGCCAAAAGCGGGAGTCTGGTCACCTTAACTTATGTGCATTGCCCACAGACACACACAATAGTGTGGTGAAGGGATAGAGGGGTAGGGGCTTGGTGGAGGGGGAAGAGGGATGTCTGCAATACTGTCAGCAATAAAAAAATATATATTTGATGAAAGACTCATTTATCCAGAGAAAGAGTAAACCTTTGTGGGAAGCAGGGTTTTGACACCCAACCCTAAGCCTTATAAATCAAGGAACTGAATTCTTCCATCTTCCTGAATGATCAAGGAAATGCAGTCTCCGCTGGAGCTTCCAGAAAGGAACATAGCCTTCCCTACATTTTTATTTCACCAGAGATTCAACTGAGTTTGAAAAACTTCTGATCTATGGAAATAGAGAGATAATAAATGTATGACATTTTTAAGCCATCAAATTTGTGGTAATTATGTCAGTGATGGAAAAGTAATATATCCTTCATGTCTGATTTGATATCAGATTACAAACTGTGAGCCTATGTGTATTTTCTTTACCTTCACATTGTGGTTATTTTACTTTTTATTAGAACTCATTGTCAGAGCTTAAAACTATTTCATTTTATTATTTATTTTTTAATTTTATTAATTTTTTAATCTTTATTGTTCAGATTATTACAGATGTCCCTCCCCCAACCCCAAAGCTGCTCTCCACCCAATTCCCAACCCACCCCAGGTCCTCGCCACCCCACTGTCTACATCCATAGCTACTGCATGCATGCATATAAGATCTTTGTTCAATCTCTTCCCACACCTCCCCCGTACCTCTTCCCCCTGAGAATTGTCAATCCATTCCATTTCTATGCCCTTGATTCTATTACATTCACCAGTTTATTCTGTTCATCAGATTTTTTATTAATTTGATTTTTAGATTCACTTGTTGATAGATATGTATTTGTTGTCACTTTGTTGTTCATATTTTTTTATCTTTACCTTTTTCTTCTTCCTCTTCTTAAATAATACCCTTCAGTATTTCTGGTTTGGTTGTGATGAACTCCTTTGTAGGGAGGTAAAAGTTGTATTGCTTTGGGCCCTGTATCCAGTCAACTACAGAGGAGTCTTAAGCACCCCGATATCCTGTAAACCTTACTAAATCAACAGCATTTTGCATATGCATTAAGAATATTCAGTAGCTTGTGTTCCTGTTTTAGTATCTCTCCATAGCTTTCAATTCCCTTGATGATGCTTAAACTGTACTGAGCCTCAGTACCCTTGTCTGGAGTTTTAATACCCTACCTGGTCCTGGCCTGCCATCATCTTTGCCCTTAGTGATCTGGACATTTTTTCCTCCATTCTTGGATAATGGTTGAAGTTGTAATGAAAAGAGATCACAATGTTACCACTGATTTAAATATGACCTTCCATTTAGAATTTCATATGGCTATCTCCTATGGGCTGCCAGATCTTTTTGGATATCATTGTCTGGGGAAAGAATATCTAGATTTGCCAACTCCTTTGTACTCAGGGTTCTCACCTACCAACATTTGGGTAATAACTAGAATAATAAGTTACATGAGACTTCACCCACTCTTATTACAGTCACATCTCAAATCCAATCAGCTTTCCTTCATTCCTGACATGTTCCTATTAGTAGAAATGAAAACTTTTAAAATAACTTAAAAAACTAAGTAATCTAATTCTGTAATTTTAAAGATTAGGGAGAAAGCGGCCCAAAGAAGTTAGATGACTTGTCTATAGTTAAACAGTGATTCAGACATAGATTTAGAATCTAGGTCTGCAGAATTTATTTTAATGTTTTCCCCATGATGTTTTGTTCCTTTATGAACCTCTGTATCTTCTGTTCTATATTTAGCAAACAAAAAAAAATACATGTCTGTTCTGCTTTTGCCTAATGAACCTCTGTATCTTAATGAAGCAGGTCCCGTGAATGCTCAGCGTTGGTCTCAATCATCTCTGAAGTCCCATGCTTTCTATTGCCAGCTCCCAATAGTCTACTTCTGGGGTTTTCCAGCACTGTATGGAAGGTCTATTAGCTCCCAGTCCCCGAAAATTTATCTTTTCTGATGATCATAGCCTTGATTCATGCAATATTTGAAGCAGCTACACTTACCATCCTGGCAATGTCTGTTGAAGAACTGCTTGCAGTAGAGCAGTGTTTCCCAAAGTGTGGTGGGGGTACGAGTTGCACTGGAGTTTGGTGGGGATATGCACTGCACTGTGCTTAGCTGTGCCTAATTCTACGTTCTCATGAGTCCGAGGGGTACTCAGTGTCATGAAAATTATAGAAGGGGTACACATATGTCAAAAGTTTGGGAAACACTGCAGTAGAGTAAAAAAGAGCCTTAGGAATGCCAGGGTAAACACCATGAACAGATTGCTCACCAGTACAAGTGTGGCCTCCAGAGGGGGCACTGTGGGTACATCTGCCTTCACTAAGCTCAACTGGAAGGCACCTGTGAGACAAGAAATTAGGGGAAGTCAGTCAGTGTAGGCAGTCAACATTCACCTTGTCACTGGGTCTGGACTTTCTCAAGCCATCCATCTCTCCCTAGGGTCTTTCTCTTTTAAGGCTGATAAGCTGGTTTTACTCCTTTGTGGATCAGGCAAAAATGTAAAGAACAAAGCAGATATATTAACATATACTGCTAATATGTTATAAATTAGTACAAATATTTGAAGATGTACATGTCCTATGGACGTTCTATGTCACTTCTAGTTATATAACCTAAGAAAATGGAAACAAATTAAAGTGTTCATCCATGGCACAGGATAAATAAATCTTGATATAATCATATGATGTAATATTATTATATAGCATTTAAAATAACATACCTGTATGGATTCATATAAATAATCCAGAGAAGAAAATATATCAGAAAAAGAAACTTTGTAGCTTGGTGTCATTTATATAAAACATTATAGAATATAAATAACAGCATATATTGTTAATAAATAGATAAGTATGTATATACTAGAGGCCTTTTGTGATCTCAGGGGGAGGGTCCCTCAGCCTGGCCTGTGCCCTCTCACAATCCTGGAGCCCTGCAATCAAACTCTTCAAAGAGGGAGGCCCTGCCTGCCCACCGCAGCACCATAGGCCAGGTAGCCTGGGCCTCCCTCTGCAGAGGGATCAATTATAGAGCCCCAACCATGTGAGTGGGGAGTCCCTCTGTGGGGTAATTGTGGGGCCCCAACCAATCTCATCACACCTGCCATGGCTAGCCTGGCACCAGTACATGGTCATCCAGACAGTTCTGCTATTCGGTGTTTGGTTGATTTTCATATCATACTTTTATTATTATAGATGTTACAAAAGAATGTAAGTATTAAAACCTGGGTAGAGAAATTGGAGAGTCATAGTGCTCACCAATTATTTACATGCTTCCCTGCATTTCCCACTCACTCTTATACTAAGGCCATCAAAGTACTTCTGGCCAGTGGATGTATGTCACTTGCAGACTGAAGTAATTGAAAGCAAGTATGCCTCTCAATCTCTTTTCATGTCCCATTAACCTGGAAGTCACATGATGTGGATGATATAGTCACAAGATGGAGGCATAGTGAAAAACAAACTTTTATTGTATTAAGTTACTCAGATTGTGGAGTTTGTTACTGTAGCATAGCCTACCAGCAAGATACATACAATTTCATGATAGTGGTTGCCTCTGGGAGGTTAGTAGATACTAGAATTCAGAAAAAATGAAAAAGGGAATTTCATTAAACATGTGGAGTCATCATTCTTTTAAAAATATCTGAAGCAAATATACAAAATGTCAAGATTTATGGATGTTGTATAAATGAACATTTTATATTTTCTGCATTTTAAATATTTCTACATATCTAAACCATATTATTATTTTAAAAGTCATCAATAATTTAAAAATAATACATGAGTAGATATATAGATGATAGACAGATAAAAATTATAGACAGATGGACAGATATATTGATGGTGATATAAGCATAGACTAGATCCTAGTAATTCATTAAGCCTTTACTAGTCCTAAGCACTAGAGATTATTATAAACCTCATATCATCATCATCATCATCATCCACAAGTTTGCACATGTTATAATTTATAAGCTACTTTCTAACTCCATTATTTTATTAGATCTAGATAGCCATCCCATAAAATATGAAAAATAATGATTGTCCTAACATTTTTTTTCAGATGAGGGTCAATAAATTTCAATGATTTGCAGAGGGTTACAGAGATAATACATTGGAAAACCAGGATTCAAATATGATTTCTTTGTCAACCTATCCTACAGGAAGAAGTATGAGGGGGTAGTAGAAATCTTTACTATGCTATCTTACTGCCATCCAATGAGTTGGGAAAGGAAAAAGAGAAGAGAACTGGATACAAAAATTGAACCTCAGAGGTGGGGGTCTGTTTTGTGCACAGGATGCACTCTCGGTCCTGCAGGTCTCCAATGTGTGTCTTTTGGTAGACCCTGTGGTAGGCACTTTATAGTTGGATCTTGCAAGACACTGCTTTGCTTTAGTGAGTGCTTAAACTCATCAAAATATGGACAGTTAGACTACTTTATCTAGGCTCTGTGAGACTTCCAAGGGCTGGAGAAGGCCCAGAACAGCTTCATTTCATACAGCAGGCTCACCTTGGAAGACAGTCCCCACAAATAAGCATTAGAGGTAGCTGTGCAATTGGCCTTCTGAACACAATTGATATAGCACAGGTGATGCAATTATGACATATATGATGGCCCCAGCTACTTTTGTATCTGCATGCAAGGCAGGCTGTGCAGTATGCATCACCACCTTCTCCATAACCATAATTCTGCAGAGAAATTGGAGTCACTAACATTGCTATACAGGAACTTGGATAGAGGATCATCTATGAGACAAGTGGGCATTGTACAGAGTTTACAAACTGCAAGTTGAAACCCACTACCAAGTCATGAAATCAGTTTACTAGGTTTCAAGCAGCACTGAAAATTTGAAACAAGGCAAAATAAAATAATAATTAAAATGCCAAAAGTCAAATCAAGAACAATTCCTTTTTTTTTTACTTCAAAGTCAGAAACAGACAGAAACAAATAAACTTAATTATATACCAAAGGAGTAACAACCATCTTAAACAAAAGAGGAAAGGAAAGAATCCAAGTAACTCTTAGCTCCAATACTTTCACTTTTTCCAGTCTGAAGATAAGAGGACTAAATAAATTGCAAAACAAAACAAAACAAAACAAAACAAAAAACTTAAATGACTTAATAGGTTAGTAGGTTTATTGTTAATGGCATAGTTTTAGTAATTCTGAAACAAGCTTACATGTATTGTAGAATTGAGCAGAGGAGTAAATATATTTATATTGTTGGAAGCCAGGCTTCTCACAGCAAGAGAAAGGAACCAAAAATATTAAATGGTGAAAGGCAAGAATGATATGAATTGGCTATTTTTCCCATCTTTCCACTGAAGGACATGAGCAATGACACCTCAGTGACAATGAGCACACATAGCTTCCAGATCTTGGGTTCTAATACCAGTCCACACTAAAAGAAATCAGGGATCCTTATAAAAATGGCTGAATCCAGGGCTAGAAATGGGAGAGTGAGCCTTGACCATCTTGTGCCAGAAGTAAGAATATGCTCAAAGAATGACAGGCATGGAAGCCAGCTTGAAAGAGCTCCCACTGGCCAAACCTGGGACAATATGAGCATCAAAATAAGTAATGATAGTAATGGTTTATAAACCATTGAATAAAATCATAATCCATATATCCATATTGACACAAGTAAAAAAAAATAAGGGAGAAGTAAAGGTCCTTACATAAAATGCTAAGTAATAAATGCAGAAGAAATTATAGAGTTTAAAAATCACTATCTGGCAATCACCATAGTAATTTGACACAAACAAGAGCCATCAACTATTATAAGGAATGGGGTATTCACATAACTTCAAGTAATTTCCCTACAAGTTATTTATGCATTATAAAGGGGAAATAGCAACTTTACAGTAGAGGGCATTCTAACAGAGGACAAAATAAACATAACTTAAATGACTCTAAATTGAGGAGTACTTAAAGGACATCCCCAGGGCAATCAAAGTTATCAATATGGGAACAAGTCACAATTGACTGTCCCCCATAGGATCAATAAGAATGACACGGTGTTACTTTTGGGGTATTCCTGCCACCGAGTGCATAACCTGAATCTAATGAAGTATCAGACAACCCCAACTCTAAGGACATTCTACAAACTAACTGTACCCACTCTTAAAAGTGTCAAAGTTGAAAAGACAAAGAAAGGCTAAGACCGATCCAGATGAAGGACAGCTAAAGGGACATGACAGCTGAAATGCAACAGATAATCTTGGTTTGTATCCTGAACTTGAAAAATTCTTGCTTCAGAGGACAAGTAAGACAATGAGTGAAATCTGAATAATGTCTGTCTGTTGGATAACAGTGTTTTATAACTGTTAATTTCCTGATTTTGTCACATTTGCATTGTGTTTATATAAGAGATTGTCTTTGGTTTAAAAATAGTGTCAGTTGTTGGTACATGGAGGTGGAGGAGCATCAGGATATGGGATGCATTATTTTTATTTTATTTGTGAGCATATGATGTTCAAGTATATTATATCTGATGGAATAGAAACAATTCAGAAACCACAGATGGTTACCACACTTTATAACAAGTTTCTCTTTCCATTTCCGAAGTGACTAAAAAATTTCAACTGCTAGTGATAGCAACATCTACTCCAGGAATGTCAGAAGAATTGTCATATCAACAGATGAGAATGAAGGGAGCTGTACAAAATTAAAGAAACTTCACTTATTTACTTTGTTCTTTATTTGAGTATACAGAGCAACAGATAATGATACAAAAATTGGGATAGAAAAAGAAAAAAATAGTAAAAGAAGTTGTCACTGTACAGATGCAATTAATAACCAATTGAACTGGGACATTTCCATTCAGCCAAAAGTAAATGCTAACCATATGAGTTAAATTCTTTCTCCTTCAAAACATGTGTGAGCACAGTTTCCTAACAAATAATTACAAACCTAAAAAAATAAACATAACTTAAAAGACTCTAAATTAAGGACAAAGAGCTAAAAAGTATATAAATATTTGGTAAATGTCTGGCAATAGCTGAGGAATAATTGTGCAAGGGAGGAGAAAAAATATTGTGTAGCCAAGACTATAGTGATATCATAATGAAAGCAACCTTTGGGCTGAATATAATGGGAAAATATAATTTTAATGATCGCTGAAATGGTCTTCCCAGTGGGAACAAAGGCACAGAAACTCCCCTGGATGATGTTCAAGGGAAAATGAGATAATGTATGTGAGCGTGCTCTGGAAACTCTGGGTTATGCTACACATGTAAGGGATTGCTATGATTGTCGGTAGTATCTCACTCAAACTTGGGGAGCAAAGGACATTGAAGACAATACTCAGGCCAGATGAACACTCAGCTAATACCTGAAGCCTTTGCTTTGCTTTGCTTGGCCCTAGCCAAACTGATTCAATTATTAATGTACCAATCATGACAAGATACTATGAAATTATGGTATAATAAAAAATTAGTTAGCACTGGGGGTGAATATTAATTGACTTCCCAAGATAGCAATGTTTTTTACTAAGTTGTCTCAGCTGGAAGTTCAATTCATAGTATGATTTTTCTTTTGCAGGGCTCAGGACTGGATAAAACTCAGTAGTCATGTACACTAATTTCTGCTTTCTGTTAAATTTTTTTTTGGTCTTGCCCCACCTTCTCTCCACCTGGTTCAATTTACCAAGAAATATGAAATAGCTGCATCTCTTTGAAGATGTCAATAGAATAGTGCTTTTCCTCCCATAGCAGTATAAATTCTATAAGTACACTCTCCCTTCCTCAGAGGCCAGGAAATGAAACATGCTAAAGAAGCAGACATACAAACAGATGGGAATTTACAAGTATAAGTCAGGATCATTTATCCTTCCAATAGTAATTGGAGAATCAGTCCATAGAATGAAGCCTGCCTGTGCATGATGAAAAAACTAAAATATTCCTTGCATGGTTGTAGGATACCCAAGTTAAAAAAAAAGAAAAAGAAAAAAAAGGGTATAAGACCTGGCAGGGTAGTGGAGGGAAGATGAAACTTATATAATATGAAGCTTACAATCTAATATGTAAGTGCACATTCTGTAAGACAATTTACAAAATATTACAATCTTGGGGTTATAAGGGAGTTTAAACTCATTTTAGTTCCAGCTTCCTGTTGCCAAATAAAAGAATTACCACCCAGCTCAGCTTGAATTCTTTCAGTAACAGCCAAATCAGAATTCACAAGACAGCACATTTCATTATGGTTTATTTTTTCTTCTCGTCAGGAACTAGTTAAAACTTCAAACCATCAGATAATTGGAAACATGTTTTCATGGAATCCCACAAGGATTCTTCAAGATAATCATAGACCCTGATGATCCATATGGGAAAACTGAGGCCCAGAGAAGAGCTAAAATTTTCCCAAGGTAACATAGTGGCCAGTGGCAGAGCCAGGACAAGAATCCAAATCTCCAAAATCAGGGCCCAGAACTTTGTCTATTTCCCACAGTGAAAGAGAAGGGTAGGCCCAAGTACAGGACTGACTGGTTTATACTCAGTGGATAGATTACCAAGGTTCTGGCTTCTTCTCTCTTTTTTTCTGTACTTTCAAAGCCTACTAATCTTGGCTTATTTTAACCTCAACAGGAACAATTCCAAAGGGCGGGTTGGGTCAGGAGAGGTGGCCCATGGAAAGAAATGGTGCTGCCCACTCCCCTTGGCTTATCCTCACGGTGACTAAAAGTGAAAACGACTTACTCTTTGATTCCACCAATTCATTTTTTGGGAGAATATTATGAAGTATTTTTGGTGCATTTGATAGATATCATAATTGTAGCCACCCAGGGATAGGAATAATGACCATCTGATAGTCAGAAATACTTAACAGAAACCTTTTATTTTAGTCATTCTATTAAGACATGGTGACAAGAGGGAAAATACAAGCTGGATAAAACATCTTTACCTTTAGGAAATAATAGTCTTGTCAGAAAACAATTACAGCTAATTCTAATCCAAGACAAACTTTAGCCATCCTTATATCTCACATGAGCACAGAATAATAATTCTCTCATTTTATAGATTGATGGTAAAACTGATTCACAACTCTCATATTAATAACTTAAAGAGAGAACTAATGAGTGGGGCTAGCTTCCAGAAAAAACAAAAAACAAAAACAAAAACAAAAACAAAACAAAACGAAAAAACAGAGAAAAATTGTGTCTCTTTTAATACCAAGCTTCAGCTTTGAAGAATGGTTACAAAAGACCTCTCCCTCTCTGAAGAAAGATTTCAGGTGGAACATCTCAAGAAGACATCTAAAGTAGGGTTGTTTTTTTTGGCCTGGCTTGTGTTCTGAGGTAGAGAGGAAGTGCTTGACTCTTCTCTGGGAATAGGGCTTTAGTGTCCCATAAAGAGCTTCTCTAAATCAGTTTCTTCAAAGAAGGAAAAAAATTGTTTAGGTAATTAGAGGATCCCTTCTGTACTGCCAAAGTTAGCCTAATTGTCCAGCCTGCACCTTAAATCCAATAAACCATAAAAATATAAGTAAGTAAGTAAATAAATAAATAAATAAAAACACTGACGTGAGAGTAAGAAAAATATGGCTTCCAGTTTGGGCTCAGACACTGACTAAACTAAACAATTTCTAGCAAGTTTCATTTTCTCTGGGCCTGTTTGGCCACCTGTAAAATTAAGAGAAAAACATCTGCACCTTCCCAAGCTGAGGTGAGGTGTCATTTGGATGATGGATTTAAATCAACTGGCATATAGTAGTACCT